ATTGTGCGTGCAAGATCCTGCACAATATAAAAAACGAGAACAGATCTCTCCCTTGGTGAACTCGAGTGAGCCAGTTGAGTGACCAACCACGCTGCTTGGAACAGCCTGCGAGGTCCGGTGGTAACCTGGAACGGCAATGGGAGACCCTGGGGGAACGGAAGAACGATCCAGTGAGGCTGAAAGAGGATCCTGGAACAAAGAAGAACAAGTTAGAAGGGCGCCGGAGTGTTTTCCGGCGTATCCCCTCCGACGATCTAGTCAGTCTTTGAGAGAGAGAAAGGAAGGAGAAAACACTGAGTGTGTTGTGTGTATTGTAGCAAAGAGTTTGTTGTTTCATATTAGTCTCGTCTTTTGCAAGGAGTATTTATACCTCAAAAGCTCATGATTGCTGTCAGTGTGGTCAGTAGGTGATCATTAGGTACAGGTAACGTGCACACTGATTCTGATGAGGAATGTTTTCTCTAATTAACTGCTCGGGGTCCCGTGCAATCAATGCTGGGTCATCGGANTTCTCTAATTAACTGCTCGGGGTCCCGAGCAATCAATGCTGGGTCATCGGGATGCCGACGGTACAATTACTCTTCTCGGGGAGGATGCAATAAATGCTCTGTATTAGGAGCATTTATTGCCTTTCATTTCCGATCCTTACCGCATTGAATGCGGTCTCATCAAGGGAATGGTGTAATTAATAGTTTGCTTTCCCAAGTCGCGTGTCAGCAACGACATGCGTTTTGTCTGTCTTCGATGTGATATCATATGCCACGCGTCCATTCCCTATTGGCTGTGACNAATAGTTTGCTTTCCCAAGTCGCGTGTCAGCAACGGCATGCGTTTTGTCTGTCTTCGATGTGATATCATATGCCACGCGTCCATCCCCTATTGGCTGTGATCTCTGCATTCCAGTACGTTCTAACATTACTTGTGCAAGACGAGGTCATGATGAATAGCCTAGACTAGCCTAGGCTAATGACCTGTACGTCAATAGCTTATCCTGGAGTAGAGGAGGCGTCCTGGACGGTACACCTCGGCACCGAGGGAAGGATCATCTCGGCACCGAGGTATAGACACCGACCGAGGTACCATATCAGACCGAGGCCACGTGTCGGTGTAAAACATACTGAATGCATGATCCTATATGCCGAGTACCTCGGGGGAGAGGGCCTTGTGAGCCAATGGTGCTTGATCTTAACAACAATGTTTTAGTAATACCGAGGACACGTGTCTTCATCATAGAATATTTTAGAAAAGTCTCATCAATTACTACCAACCCCTTCATCTTTTCCNCTATATGCCGAGTACCTCGGGGGAGAGGGCCTTGTGAGCCAATGGTGCTTGATCTTAGCAACAATGTTTTAGTAATACCGAGGACACGTGTCTTCATCATAAAATATTTTAGAAAAGTCTCATCAATTACTACCAACCCCTGATAGAAGAGTATATTCCTAAATTATTCTGTGTTTTTGGGGGTTGGTGAGGATATCAAAACTTTGAGAGTGATCCCCTTTCTTGTTTGAGTTCCGAATAAGTCTGAAATTATATGCAAGTCATAATTCTTTGGTTGCTTTGGAGGGCCTGTAGATATGGCTGATCCTTTCTCTCCCAACAAATTCATCTTTTCTTCATGGTTTTCTGCCGAGAATGACCCGAAAACAGAGGAAGCCATGTGGTCCACAATGAAAAAAATCGTATTACGACACAAGAACGCTACGGCACAACTCCTGCACTTGTTTATGCTTGCATCATAAACAAGATTTTTAATTGATTATATTATATGTACTATATTGATTAAATGGATGTTTTATATGTGTGGATTTATTCATGAAGAAATTCGGAAAAATCTTGTCTGTATAACCCAATAACAATTCCTTTAAAAAATTTAGTTTACTGAGAAAGCCATATTTGAGGTGTGAAGCAAGATACAAGATCTTTACGAAAGGATTTTTAGGACTGGCACTGGTACAAAGCAAACAGACTGATTAAGAATCGTTAAAGAATTTTTGTTTTCTAAAACTAACCAAAACATAAAAAAGATGACGATCATGAGGTTTTCCTTTAACATCAACTTGCTATCCCAGAAAAGGAAGCATCTTCTTATCTCCTTTGTTCCAAGAATAAGTTGAGAATGCCGTTGACCAGAACTCATGAGCATGATATCATTTGATTTCACCTGCCTTAGATATATTTTTACCACTGGAAACCTCCTACATGTGAGTTGCTACTTCCTTGTGCAACTATTAAGTCACGCGTGTCTGCTTATTCATATGATCCCAACAAAGGGAAATTCCAAGAGTTTGAGATTTTAATTATTGCTTTTCAAACCCTTGGTTTATAGTGATTTTGAAGGAAATGAAGAGAAGAAGAGATAGTTTGACACAACATCTGTGTTTCAGGTACATGAAGCACTTCTTAAAGGACATAGTTTAATTTATCCTTACAAGTGTTTGGAACATATATATAATTTGTACTATTTGAATATCAAGAGGTTGGTATTTCCAACTTATTGTATTTATAAATTTTTAGATGAAAAAAATCACATTCATTCTATTATAAAATTTTGTAGGAACTTATGACCAAGCTAATATTATTAAGGCATATCTTTGGCTTATAGATGGAAAAATCTCAAGTACTCAATTAGTTATTCTCAAATATTTTGTTGACGTTATACTTGAATTCATTATTGTTTTGTATAGAAATCTTAAAAGTTTTGGTTGTTACGTGCCATGGGGTTAGAGGGCTATAGATACTACATTAATGTTAGCGGTTTGGTATTGTGCTTCCAAGCAGAAGAGAGTTTAGGAATATTATTGCTATTCCAAAATTGACATTGGTGACAATTCTACTTACAATTTTAGCATCTTTGGTATTTTTCCTCCTCTTCCCCCATCGGATCGATTCCCAATTCCATCACGATTCATTCAGAAGATGACAAATATTTCTCTAATTTATAGGAATCCAAACACTATCTTCCTTTGCTTTCATGCTCGATTGTCTCTTGCTCTTTCTTAGGTTCAATTCCTCTACCACTTTTATATACGCAAACTACTCACATGTGTTCAGTCATATCTTTTATTACCGTTTACACATTAATTAGATTGTTGATATTCACCTGGTTCTAGGTAGGTATCTATCTATAGTTTTTGATCGGGATAGAATGCATATCTTTGGCCACCGAGCTTATCCCTGGAGTTTCTTAGCTGGTAATTGTGTCTTATTTCCACTTTTTAATCCTGAGTTTTCATGTTCCTTTTTGCTTTTTCCTCTTTGGGCCTCCTGGAAAATCAATTGGTTAAACACAAGTCCATTTGCAATTTTACTCCAATTCAATTGGGAAAAAAAACTGTTAAGTGATTCTTTTAATCTATTATCCTTAATAACAAAACTTTACCAACTCACAAATAATGATTTGTTCTTTACACAACTTTCTCAGCGTCCAAACAATGCATTTCACTGGTTGACTTTGCAATGCATTGAGGCAAAAAAAAAAAAAAGAAGAAATTAAAAATTGACGTTAAATTTTACAATGTTTTTGTTTTTGTCTCTTTTCTGTTTTTGCTCTCCATTAATAGTAAAAGAGAAAAAATGATGAACGAACCTCAATCTAAGTCAAGTTGTAACCTCTGGTTGAATTATTTGAGAAATTATCTTACTATGGTTTTGTTGTATCTCATTCCCACGACGATAGACATTTGCCGATGCAAAGAACTTATAGTTGTCCTTTTTATTTCATTTTAAACAGTTTCCAAGCAACCAAACAAAGTATTTGGTTACTAAGCTTCTCTTCACTTTCCTGGTTCACAAATTCAGTTCACGGTTGGTTGAATATGTTTCTTGTCCTTTGCAGTTTAATGTTTTTTAAGTGCAGTTGTGTGGATTGATGCGTGAACTATTCAATTTTGGGTTATTTATTTGTGATGCAATCTGCTGAGGCAAACAGGAAGAAAAGTTTGAAGCGTTCAAGATCGCTTCCTTGCAAAATGCCTGCAACAGACACCAGTGTAGCAAACACTCTCGAAAATTGCATGTCTTTTCCTCTTGAAGAGATAGTGCAACATCCATTGCCTGGTTATGGAGCGCCAACTTCAATTAGTTTCAGTTCTGACGATAGTGTGGTAACTTATCTGTTTAGTCCTTATCAAACTTTGAATAGGAAGGTGTATTTGTTTGATTTGAGTACATGTAAGCAAGAATTGTTTTTTAGCCCCCCTTGATGGTGGGCTCGATGAGACTAATTTATCTGCGGAAGAGAAATTGAGAAGGGAGAGGTCAAGGGAACGTGGGTTGGGGGTGACACGATATGAATGGGTGAAGACAAGCTCAAAGAAGAAAATAATCATGGTGCCTTTGCCTGCTGGGGTTTGTTCCCTTCTCTTGCATCTTATTTATGGTTCCAGTTTCAATTCTCATGCAAAATTACTCTAGGGAATACTCATTTGTTTCATATTTGTGCTTGCATCCCATTCCACTTGATCTTTTCCCCCCTGAAGTATTTCACCTGTTTTCTTTGGTTGGTTCTAATTGATAGCTTTATCAGATTTTTTTTTTTTTGTATTGGATGGTTTTTATTTCTATCAAGTTCAAATTGATTTCCTGATTACAGACAAAGGGGCCATTTATCATTGTAAGATGCGGTCTAGATGTATATATAATGATGTAAGACCTGCTTTTGTTGCAACAATTGGATAGCTACCTTGCAAAGGTATTCTTTTACGTTGCATTTTTTACTTGGCAAGATAATAGGAAAAGTTCTTCAGCTATTTATGGTTTGATTTTTGTTATCAATCATTTTTTCCGATTTATTTACAAGTAAAATACACCTCTCGCTGCAAGTAGTGTCTGCTAAACTTATGCCACCTCATGTTAATTGTAATATTGGCAGTATTGATAGTTTTGTGGGGGATGTTAATGATTTGATGTTCTTTATAAGATGTCATTTATGTACATTCCATGTAATCTGTTACTTATCTACTGCAGGCACTTGAGTATATATTGTTGTGTCTGTGAACAGATTTATTTCCAGGATCTTTCCTTACAGGCAGAGCTTAAGCTTCCAAGTGCATCATTCTCTCCAATTATTGATCCACATCTTTCACCAGATGGTAGTATGCTTGCTTACCTGAGAGATAACGAGCTGCATGTGTTAGACCTTTTGTCCAATGTTTCAAGACAATTAACCTCTGGTGCTGACATAAAAGTTGTGGTAGGCTTTATCCGATGCGATATATAATTCTTCATTCAATATCCTTTGCATATGTTGCCACCTATTCTCTTAGACTGTTTTGCTGATGAACCTGAATTAGTTATGATTAGAAACATAGAAGTCAATTGGTTGTTTGGCTTATGTTTTAAATATATTGCCTCTATATCCTGTACGATATGGTTTACCAAAAAGTTTCGAGTGTAGGGTGTGGTAGGGACATCCTTAATGTCGACACAATGCCTGGATTATCTACTACCTGGATTGATTAATAGTTATACTATTCATTGGAAATTTTCCAAGCTTGTGGTATTATAAGGTTATTTTTTTTTTGGCATTTTTCTATTTTTTTTCTATTTTGTGATGGTTTATAATCTCATTTTGATGTTACACATGAACTTTCAAATTTTTAAGAATTTTTACACTAGGAATTTATTTGATAGCGGCTCAGAGAGTGTAAGATTTGCCTTCAAGAGCTACACACATATCAACCGGACAACAAGTATTATGGGAACTTGAAGGCAATGAAACTTGCTATCTCTAATCCATAGTTTTGCAGAACTAGAAAGTTGTTTTGCTTTCGATTATAATGTACAATTCCTAGGTGCCTCATGTGGTGATTGTTTTCCATTTGCTTATTGATGTGATACTGTACAGATGAATTTCATGTTAACAAATCAAAAAAGTGCTTGAAATCTTACAAGTCTTATTCTTCACGTCTAGAACACACTAATCACCTGTATTATTTTGGGAATGCGAAGATACTGAAACTTAGCAAGCTCATTCATAGTTTAACAAAACAAAAAAATTGTTTATACTTTTGAGTTATATGGTTCCTAAATCACCTCATGTGGTGATTTGTGCCCATTTGCATATGTCAATGTTATTGTGCATGAATTTAAGTTTTACCAACCAAAAAGTAGTCATGAAATCTTTATCATTTTTATTTTTCACAACTTGAAGTTATTTGGTAAAACATATGTTGGTCAATTACTAGGAATGCAGGAAAAGGAGCAAAAATTTAGAAATCTTTATTTTTTTTCATTTGTATCTAATAGATAGAAATTAAAAATTTGTACATTTTGTTTAGAAATCTTAATCTGAGAATGTCAAACTAATATTTATTGGTTCTATTGTAAACAAAACAAACAAAAATTTTGTTGTGATCAAGTGCTACAGCTTATTGACTTTAGATAGAAAAATGAATTGGTATTCTAAAGAGATAACCTACCTCCTCTTATAATTGTATTAAGCTGGGTTGCCATCTTCTTCATTCGTAAAAGCTAGACTAGACAGAACAAGTTGACCCAGTTCTCTGTTTTGTTCTTTCAACCATGGCTTGACTTAATTCTTCACTGATAGGAAAAAAAAATGTCATTCAAATGCTTGGAAGGGTGTTGGTGACACTGGTGGTAATTCCTATGAGCTAGGTTCAATGTAATGATCTTATATGCTTTGTTTAGGAATCTTGTTCTGCATTGAGATTTTTAATTGTAATTTAAATGTATGAGTTATACATGTCACTCCTTAAATTCAGATAACGTGTCCAAATCCTTTTCTTTGAATGTCAAATAGCACAAACCCCCTTGGAAGATCTTGTGTCAAAATGCTCAATCATGTACAAACAAACTTAAAACTTCATTCCATAACAAATAAAACAAAATTAAACTTCAAAATTGTCCACGTGCAACGTACGTGTGCACTGGGATAAAATTTCCCTTAGCATTGAGCTTAAGGCTTCTAATTAATCGTGAGTAATGTTATAAGAATTTTATTTGGGGATCTAATGATGTGACTTCAATGCAACCATTAGATTAGTTGTAAGTTTCAATGTTAAATGGAATTTACAATCAATCTAATGATTGCATTAAATTAGGTCCCCAAATTAGATCAAAATAATATTTTTCATTAATCATTTGTTACGTAAGTAATTATTTTTTACTTGTTTAGTCAAAATTCTATTTGTTTATAACTTAATGGCATGTCAGTTCTTCAAAACTACTTTTGTCTATCAACATTTATAACTAGTGCACGTCTATTTCACTATAAATACGATGAAGCTTTCCGCACTCTCTGTATTATCGTTGCAAAAAGTTCACATATCCTAATTATAATTGAAAAGAACACGTGTTCTTTTCTTTAAAAGATTTGTTAACAGTAAGGGTATTTAAATTTTTGATTATCCTCAATTTTCTACTTTATCTGATCTTATTTTATTCTATTGATCGGTTAGTTAAAAAAATCGGATGGAAATGTGAAAGAATTTTTGGTTTTTCGATTAAATCGGGTAAAAATACAGAATATTCATCAAATTTTCGTATTCCTATCATACCCTCCCCCTCTCCCCCCCACATATATATATATAAACTAAAACGCTAATTCCCTAACCCCTCGTTGCCTTCTTNTCCCCCTCTCCCCCCCACATATATATATATAAACTAAAACGCTAATTCCCTAACCCCTCGTTGCTTTCTCAGGACCTCATCTGTCTTGCCTCTCTCGCCATCTTGTCTCTCTCACCTCTTTCTCGGCCTCTCTTTGAACAACTCTACTTAAAATTGTTGTTATTGTATTTGTGTAATAATTATGATAAATTGATATTTATGGTCCGAGATTTCTTGTATTGTTATTATAATTGTTTTAAATTTTAGTATTATTAGTTTATTGTGTTGTTAAATTAGTACAGGTAAATGATCCAAAATTTAATAACTATAAAATGTGTTCACTCGATTTCTTACTCGACTTTCTATCAGATTAGTTTAGATAAAAGTTGGATAGAAATACTACATTTGATCGGATAGGATAGACAAAAAAAAATTATTCTGTAAAATATCGAATAGAAAAATAAAAGATAATATTTCTTATTCGTATAGTAGGATGAACACCCCAGTTAAGGGCGATTGTATTAGCCATTTTATTTCAGGAAATTTGATGTATGATCTTACGGCTGTGCTTTAGGGGGAGGGGGAAAGATGTGACAAAGGAATTGGTAGTTGCTTATTAAATTTTTGACAATTCCAACAGTTGGTGTGATCTCGGCTAGGGCTGTCATATTTGACACGATACGATTAATCGATATAAAATTAAATAAATTTAGGTGAGATCTTTTTAAGTTTGGATAGTAAACGAGTGAACCTACAAAATTTGTTTAATAAATGGTTCATGTTTGAGTGACATATGTCAATTTGTTTATCACTCTTTTACTTGTTTAAATAAAATTAATATAATAATAAATTAATAAGTATTAAAAAAATTAGCCAAAATAGAATAATATATGTAGTTATTAATTAAATTAGTTTTAAAAAATAGTTTAATATTAATTTTTTTAGTGAATTATAACATTTCTAATGACAATCAGGTGACGNAGAATGTCAAACTAATATTTATTGGTTCTATTGTAAACAAAACAAACAAAAATTTTGTTGTGATCAAGTGCTACAGCTTATTGAGTTTAGACAGAAAAATGAATTGGTATTCTAAAGAGATAACCTACCTCCTCTTATAATTGTATTAAGCTGGGTTGCCATCTTCTTCATTCGTAAAAGCTAGACTAGACAGAACAAGTTGACCCAGTTCTCTGTTTTGTTCTTTCAACCATGGCTTGACTTAATTCTTCACTGATAGAAAAAAAAAATGTCATTCAAAAGCTTGGAAAGGGGTTGGTGACACTGGTGGTTATTCCTATGAGCTAGGTTCAATGTTATGATCTTATATGCTTTGTTTAGGAATCTTGCTCTGGATTGAGATTTTTAATTGTAATTTAAATGTATGAGTTATACACGTCACTCCTTAAATTTAGATAACGTGTCCAAATCCTTTTCTTTGAATGTCAAATAGCACAAACCCCCTTGGAAGATCTTGTGTCAAAATACTCAATCATGTACAAACAAACTTAAAACTTCATTCCATGACAAATAAAACAAAGTTAAACTTTAAACAAACTTAAAATTTCATTCCATAACAAATAAAACAAAGTTAAACTTTAAAATTGTTCACGTGCAACGTACGTGTGCGTACCAATTAGTTGGAATAAAATTACCCTTAGCATTGAGCTTAAGGCTTCCAATTAATCATGAGTAATGTTATAGGGACTTTATTTGGGGACCTAATGATGTGATTTCAATACAACAATTAGATTAGTTGTAAGTTTCAATGTTAAATGAAATTTACAACTAATTCAATGATTGTATTAAATTAGGTCCCCAAATTAGATCAAAATAATATTTTTCATTAATCATTTGTTACGTAAGTAATTATTTTTTACTTGTTTAGTCAAAATTCTATTTGTTTATAACTTAATGGCATGTCAGTTCTTCAAAACTACTTTTGTCTATCAACATTTATAACTAGTGCACGTCTATTTCACTATAAATACGATGAAGCTTTCCGCACTCTCTGTATTATCGTTGCAAAAAGTTCACATATCCTAATTATAATTGAAAAGAACACGTGTTCTATTTTTTAAAAGATTTGTTAACAGTAAGGGTATTTAAATTTTTGATTATCCTCAATTTTCTACTTTATCTGATCTTATTTTACTCTATTGATCGGTTAGTTAAAAAAATCGGATGGGAATGTGAAAGAATTTTTGGTCTTTAGATTAAATCGGATAAAAATACAAAATACTCATCAAATTTTCGTATTCCTATCATACCCTCCCCCTCTCCCCCCCACATATATATATAAAAACTAAAACGCTAATTCCCTAACCCCTCGTTGCTTTCTCNATATATGATGAGACATTTCTGAAAAAGAAAATGGAGTTGACACGTGTCCTCGGCACCGAGGACACCTCCAACATCCTGATGAAGACACGTGTTCTCGGCACGGAGAACACCTCCAATATTTTGATGAAGACACGCGTCCTCAGCACCGAGAACACCTCCAACAGTCTGATGAAGACAAGTGTCCTTAGCACCGAAGACACGTCCAACATTCAAAGGAGGACACATGTCCTCGGTNAAATTTTCGTATTCCTATCATACCCTCCCCCTCTCCCCCCCACATATATATATATAAACTAAAACGCTAATTCCCTAACCCCTCGTTGCTTTCTCAGGACCTCATCTGTCTTGCCTCTCTCGCCATCTTGTCTCTCTCACCTCTTTCTCGGCCTCTCTTTGAACAACTCTACTTAAAATTGTTGTTATTGTATTTGTATAATAATTATAATAAATTGATATTAATGGTCCGAGATTTCTTGTATTGTTATTATAATTGTTTTAAATTTTAGTATTATTAGTTTATTGTGTTATTAAATTAGTACAGGTAAATGATCCAAAATTTAATAACTATAAAATGTGTTCATTCGATTTCTTACTCGACTTTCTATCAGATTAGTTTGGATAAAAGTTGGATAGAAATACTACATTTGATCGGATAGGATAGACAAAAAAAAATTATTCTGTAAAATATCGAATAGAAAAATAAAAGATAATATTTCTTATTCGTATAGTAGGATGAACACCCCAGTTAAGGGCGATTGTATTAGCCATTTTATTTCAGGAAATTTGATGTATGATCTTACGGCTGTGCTTTAGGGGGAGGGGGAAAGATGTGACAAAGGAATTGGTGGTTGCTTATTAAATTTTTGACAATTCCAACAGTTGGTGTGATCTCGGCTAGGGCTGTCATATTTGACACGATACGATTAATTGATATAAAATTAAATAAATTTAGGTGAGATCTTTTTAAGTTTGGATAGTAAACGAGTGAACCTACAAAATTTGTTTAATAAATGGTTCATGTTTGAGTGACATATGTCAATTTGTTTATCACCCTTTTACTTGTTTAAATAAAATTAATATAATAATAAATTAATAAGTATTAAAAAAATTAGCCAAAATAGAATAATATATGTAGTTATTAATTAAATTAGTTTTAAAAAATAGTTTAATATTAATTTTTTTAGTGAATTATAACATTTCTAATGACAATCAGGTGACGGGTTTAAAAAGTTATCGTATTAATCCGACTCTACTTAATTCAATTCATCTATTAAACTGGTTAAATGAATGGCGTCGTGTAACCCGCTTAATAAACAATTGTATTTGATTTAAAGATTTTCATCCATTTATTTAATCGAGTTATGTAAGTGTTCACTGATTTTTCAGAAGAACCAAATTAGACTCGACTCGTAATCATCTAATCTGACAAAATTGACATCTCTAATCTCGGTAAACGACCCATGGATAATCCCATGTGGTCAACGATTCATCGGGCTGTGGGCAGGCCTGGCTCGTCATGTCAGCCCATTAATAACCCAATACCGTAGTATATAGGAACGATGGGCCATAGTTATTTACTCACTAGACCCCACAACGGATTAATGCCTTGCGAATGAGGAAATATTAGGTATAATTGTGACACTACAGTATCATTGTTAGGTAATATCACTGTCCTATAATAAACTTATAAATTGACAAGATGAATTCCACTTGG